AAGTTAAACGGTGATGAAAGGAGTTACGTCCACTAGTTTAGCTGCACACCAAGCCTGAAGAAAAAAACATGAATCATTGTCCCTTAAAACTCATTGTTCAGCTGAATATGCATTAAAATGCAACTCCGAGCAGGGTTTGCTGTTGTGCTGTTAAGCGGCGAAGCCTTTAAGATTTCTTCAAAAATCGTCTCCTACACCCTAGAAAGACTTCTCCTCGTGCGATTCGAAAAAACGGCTCATTTTTTCCATATGACTTCTGTTGAAAATATTGAAAGAATACTAACGAACGGTAGACCCTGCCTAAGAAGCTCGTTGTTTATTGCTGTTTGCCACCTTTCTTTCCTTCCTCAAAATAATTTGAGCTTACCTGTAAATCTTTTTTACGACATTCCCACATCTGCATGCTGTGGTAAAGACAGCAAAATACAGCAGCCCTTGGAATCCTCATAATCAAAGCGAACTACATAGTTGCAACAGCAAGTCCTTTTTAGCGGTAGGCCCCGCTTTCCACTTGTTCTGTCACAGTGCGGTTTAAATTCGTGTTCGGCTTGCTTGCAAAATTGAAACGGATCAAATAGTATTCAATATTATAGCAGGCTCAGTAAGGTGGCATGTCTGATTGCTTGCGATTTGGTTCTCGATTCCGATGCTGGACTGTTTGTGACGTTACCGGCACCATGTGCCACCGTTAATGCCTCCGCTTTTACGTTTTCAGAATAGACTAGTGATAATGAATGGCACGGTTACATGAAATGCCTGGTTTTAAGAATTGGTGGATGTTTCCGGAAATGACTCAAAATCGTGACGATGACGTGTTTGTGAAAGGTGCTGCCCTTATACTGCGGCAAATGTATAATGTGGCGGTATCGTGCAAATCAGAGTGGAATGGAACGACCAGGATCGAGCAAGGGCGTCGAGAAAATTTTGAAGTACCACCCCCCCCCCCTGCATCCCCGGCGGTCGAAGTCCTTGAAGCGACTCTTCCCACAAAGCGAAGTATGAAAAAGTTGTTTAACCCCCTTTCCGAGAACTTTTCATCGAAAAAAAAAACCTGCTACCCCACCCTATACCGAAAATACTCAACAATTATTATATTTAGGAAAAGTCAAGGAAAGATCAGCAATGAGTCCTATCAACAAATGCACTAAAAACGACGAGCTAGTTATGAAAAATAGCATACTATGGCAGCATCTCTTCTTCCTTATTTCCTTTGGAAGGCTTACCAAGTCTCAGTACTACACAGAGTATGCTCTCAATCTACACGTCCACCTTTGGTTGAAGAAGCCTTGTAACCGCCTTAGCCAGCTGTGTGTTGATTGATCTTTGGCGTTGACCGTGGAGCAGCTTATCTACTATTGAAATTTGAACAAATATTCAAATGATAACTTTCTTCACGAATTTTCAATCTGAAAGCAGATTTGGAAGTTTTGTGAAGAGCTCTTTCTAATCAATACTGAAATTATGAAAATCAATGAGAAATCTACACTTTTCAGAGCCATAACTTGCTTTGCTGATTTGCTCTATTACAGCTTTTTAAGTGACTTGATTCGTGTGAATTTGCGGTTTTTAAAAAATGGCCACGTCGAGGATTTTTGCAAAATTAACGAGGAAAATTCGTGATGAGTGCGAGTTTTTACGCTTTCCAAAGCCATAACTCCGTTCAAACTCATCCAATCTGAAAAGTTAATACGTCATCATAAACTAGAAGATTTGCTCTATTCAACGGTCTTTAAAACTGCTATGCTGGGTTGTGAACAAAACTTTGGCCCCAGCGGGGGTGCGGGTTCTAGGGTCCCGCCTGGGGCGAAAGTTTTGTTCACAACCCAGCATACTTGTGAAACATTCGCAAAGCGAACTGCGGCCAAAAACAGCAGTTAACAAACAAAAAACAAGTCCCTCATAGAAACTGTTCAATATGTCAGTATGGTAAAAAAAATGGCCACGTCGAGGATTTTTGTCCGAGTACCGCCAAAACTTTTCACTTTTCCGCTGCATTGACTTTCTTTCAACGACTATAGCTCCTTTCAGGGGCGATTATCAGAGTATGAGCAGATTCAGAATCCATGTGCTTTCCTCTTTCCAATAATTTTCGAAACTGTTAGTGATTCTCAACTTTGGCGATTACATGCATATGAATTTGACGCTGAAGACTACATTTCTTGTTGAGTAGTGGATTCATCCCTGTAATTTCGCCCAGATCTTTTTGTAAATTCTTTTGATTTTTCTTAAATTGAGATTTTTGTCCACAGTGAACCGTGATTAGAGCGTGCGCTGACTGGCCTCACTCTGAGATGCGCCGTGTGCTTAACATCCATTCACGTTGTGGTGGACTCATTTGAAAGATAAAATGTTTGTCCAAAACGTGCGAATTTCGAATTCTTCATGAGAATAATAAACAAATATTCGTGATAAATTATGTAGGTAGCGTAGTACTACGACCCTTTTAAACCACGAATACTTTAAGTGAGCGGAATAAAATTGTTATTGGAAATTCATGGGCCAAAGTCTTACCACCGATCAGCTCCTCGATATTTTGCGGTATATAGATGTCCTCCCGACAGGTGATCCTCAATTGCATCGATCCGCCACATCCCCTTAATTCCTCGAGCGGGCAAATACGACCCTCCTCCCCGGAACTGTCGAGCATTCCTCAGCGCACACTTGATCCTGGAAAGCAACCTTTTTCGAGAGCTTCATCGGTAATATGGGATGACGCAAAGTGCCGATTCCAACACTCCGAAAATTCTAGTCTCCAAAGCGGTGTGCAGGTTCCAGGATTCTTGAGAAAAAGATTGAATTCCAAACTTAATAACTCTTTACGGTTTTGTGCAATTATGAAGAAATTGCTCAATCACGGCTCTTTTTTGAGTTTTTAGGTCAGTCAAAGAAAAGCTATGTAATAAATAGCATGTGGACAGCTTGAAGAGGCTCGACTTACAGACACTTCGCCGCGCGTTGTAAGCTGAGCATCTGGCTAGGGATAGGATGAAAACCCCTCCACTTGTTTCCAAGTTATTAAATTCTTTCACTTTCAGCACATTTTCATTTTTACCCACACATTGTTACACTTTCGTTCTTGAGATAGTCCTCCTCGGAGGAACAAATGAAATCTGAAGGAATTTTTTTGCGTTCATCTTGGAAGTTCAGCATACGGTCACCTTAGTAACCCTCTGCTCCTGAGAGCCAGGTGCTTCGAGTGCAGAGCACACACCACAAGTGACGACGGCCTCCAAGTAAATCTGGTAACTAGTGGTTCATAGTGATAGCTGATTTTGGTAAATGATAGTTGTAATTAGTGACAACTGATACAACTGCAACGGCTAATCATTTCATTGGCAGAAACATTTACATTTTGTGGAGGCCGTCGTCACTTGTGTTGTGTGGTCTGCACTCGACGAGCGCCTGGTTTTCCGAAACAGTAGCTAATTCCGTTCCCGAAGGTATAAAGCGCTTCGTCCGTCGGTCTGTGCTTCTGTCACGAGATTACCATACTACCGGAGGAATTACTTGGGAGACTGGTTCATGTTCGAGATGATAGGTCATGGTCCGTGAAGTACAAAACACAAATTGTTTAAGCAAAGCCCGGCCCACAGTTGGCGTGGCATGCATCGAGCGAGCGAGCAGTACCGAAAGCAAAATTTCGAATTTCATTCCAAAAAACCTTGACTGGAAAATTTTTATAGGTGTGTATCGATAAACCATGTCGAATGAGAAGGACCTGCCAGCGGTGTGGGCAGGGCGTTCTCTGAAAAAAGCAGTGCTTTATGAAAAATTTCATAACTCGGTTGGGAGAAAGCCTACAGAGCAGAAAACAATTGGGTACAAGCAATGTCTAAGGTGTTCCCAGCACAACTGGCATGAGCGGCGGCCCAGCCACAATGGGTGGAACGTGTACTTAACAGGGCGGCGTTTTTTGAAATTTTTTTAGTTTTTTGTAAATTTTGGAATTCTTTTGAGATGAAACTTCCGGTGCCTCTTTGTGTTATACAACATTTAGCTTACTTTCTATTCCATAAAAAAATTTAACTATATAAAGTAACGTCCATCCTTCTATCTTACGGAAGGATCTGACCGTTTTAGGCCCCACTACTACAGCTCTTACCACTTCCGTTCCCCCTTGCAGTGGTCCAATCGCGAAATCGTAAAGTTTTTACACACACGGCTTCTGGATGACGTGCAGCTTTCCTTTTGTTCTTCACTATCACCAGCCAAAGTGCTCCAACTTTTCAATCGGCACCTTCATTGAAATGATAAGAAAGTTCCAAGTTCGACACAAACGTTCAAGCAATACAAGTGTTTCATTAAAAAATGCAGATATCAACAAATTTCAGTATATAAATAGATCTCTTCTAATTTTAATCTCTTTTAATTTTTGCTTCTAATTTTTCAGCTGACTGATTAAAAAGTTGTAAGTGGAAATTGTGCGAATTTTGCCTTCTGATACTTCAATTGATATTGCTACTGTAGTTCAACAGATATCATCCAATTTTTGACATTAATTCGATTTGTTATTATTAGCATTACAATTGATATTACTTGATATTTCTTCACCTGATGGACTGAAAATGGAAAAAAATCGAATTGTAAGCAGATTGGCAAAATTTAATTTGCATAGATTTATTTAATGCTCATATTCAGAACTCTTTCCACAAATTTCCAGAGGCCCATCCTATAACCAAGCTTTCCCGCGCATGAATGTTATTTGAACGTGACGATATTCACCTTTCATGCTGAACGTGTAGCCTCAAAATGTTGTTGATCGACGCGTTGGCAGGTATAAGCGACGATGTCATCGGCGGTTTTCCATCCCCGACAGCCGCGGTAGCTCTACAGGTCTCCGGAGGGACAGGAGTGGCTTGGGTGGGATTTTGTTTGAGTTTTGGCCTTCCGAACCACGACGCAAAAACACGATAGAACTGTCCGCTTGTCGCGACATCTTTTCCCCTGTTTCTCATAGTTTCTTCGATATCTAATAATTTGTAACAACAGAACAAAAATCGATGAAGTCATTCAGCATGCTTCACTCTGTTGCTAGCTGTTTCTGAAAACGCTGCTCATCACGTAGGGAACGCGAGCAGCAAAGTGTACCAGGGTGTAGTTGCGCAAAGTGCGACATGAAGATTTTTGTTCAGGCGGGTGAACCTCACGACCAAGCAAACTAAACCCAAGGCCTTTTCCGCATATCTCATTTTTCCCTCGAGCAGTCTATCACACAGTAATATCGGAAGAAATTTGAAGGATACTACGCAAATGAAATAAAAGAAGCAGAAGCTTGAAGAGACGTGTGGAAGGCAAAAACCAGAAAGAAAAAGCAAGCGACATGAAGCCGGTGGGAACAAAGCAATGATGCTCACTGGGAGTAAATGACGGTAGCAGAAAGAGAAACCAAAAGAGCGTGAGGAAAGTGTAGAAATTAATACTTACAGGAAATGTGTGATAAAGGGAGTGAATGAGAAACAACTTGCTAACCGCTAGCCCGAGATAGATATCTGTAATAGGTTGTAAGGAAAGTTCTGGCCGTTTCTCCAATGTCATGTTTCATGGCATATCATCTCTGGCTAAATTTTCGGCAGACTGCTACGAGTTGCATATCGCTAGAAAGCGTGTTTTCTGCTCTATCCAAATACGATGTAAACTTTGCTCTAGATGGACTACTCCCACTTTTTTAAGGCCTTGAATGGAACATGCTCACCAAGCGAATCCTCACGATTTTCTTCTTCTACCTCGAATAAGGGCAGAAAGGAGTGGAATAAGTCATGATATGAACTATTCGTTTGGTCATGCACTTGCGAAAAATAAGCCATGAAGCGATAGTTTGGAAGCCTTATGTAGGGACGGCGATATCCTCGAAGTTGGCGAGGGTGACCGTTGGATGTGGAATTTCGGTAAAAATCAACTGAAACATTTGATAGAACCAAATGTGCTTAAAACAGTTTAGAAGACCGCTACTGAATTGTGTGTATTTGATTTATGGTTTCAAGATTCTTGGGATGGCTTAAAAAGCACGGAAAAGTCAATAACTAGGGGTTGCGAAAAGTTGCGATTCCGTAGGGCCGTCTGCCCTACTTCTGCAATCTTTCATCCAAAGAAAACGATGGGTTTTCTGTTCGTGTTGTGAGTTGCAATGTAGAATAGATTCTTCTCAATAACCTATAGTCTTCGGCTGAGAAGTTCGATCAAGACTAGGTCAACAAAAATTTGCAAAGGTGAAATGCACGAGGAGAAGGTTGTTCTGCCTTTCTTTCGCGGTCTACAGCAGGCGCAACTCCCGAGCACAGGCGGAACTATCATAGTAAGACAGTATCATTTTGCAAGGTGCCAAAATACTCTGAAACCTTATCACATGTGCCCAGCAAGGGCAGCCAGAAATGGTCCGAGTTGCGTTATATGACTCAACCCCTCGACCAGGGTGAATAACGGTCGAGGAAATTTCCTCGACCATAGCTCTCTACCATGCGAGAGTAGTGCCGAGAGTGAACATCCGCGCGGAGAGCACAGACGGCACGGCATGGCGAGTGTGAATGTCCGCGCGAGAGATCGTCTCTGATCGGGCAGAGAATCCTCGACGTGCCGTTGAGGAATCCTCAAGCGATATTCACCCTGCTCGACCGCAGAACCTACCCTGCAAAAACGAACTAGCTGAGGTACTGAACTATGCCCTAAACCTCCACTCCCTAGTCCTCTTACCTATTCACCGCCGCTTTTTCAAAGGTCTGGATAGCACCCTAAAGGAGAAATGCTACGAAATCTGACGTGATGATAAAACGACCTTCGCCTAGTTCATCGCCTCTAGAACTACAGTACTTCTAGTGAGCGGAATGATCAAACACAAGGAATATTCGCAAGAACGAGTAGATCCAGCAGGTTTTTATTGCGATCGAAAACGTTGCGTTTGAGTCGAGATATGCGCATTTGAACTTCAGGGTCCGAAACGGCCAGAACTTTCCTTACAACCCCTCACCAGAAAATTATCAAGTGAGATGCTGATAGTTCTTTCACTATACTTGTGAGAAGCTGAGATTGAAATGACCCTGTGTTATAGGCATGATAATGCCCGCAAAGCATCTCTCCACATACAGATGTAGGTGTGGGTCATGTAGGTTCAGGTCCGGGTACCTACCAAGATGCTGCCTGTAACTCATTGTTTGCCCCCCAAAAAAATATGCAGAACTGTAAAGGATAAAGGATAATCATTTGCCCTGATCCAATGCCTTTGGGATCGGCAAGCATTCTAACCATTTTTTCATACAAGTGCGTTCTTGAAATGCGGTGGTCCTAATACAATGCTTGTGGGGCGAGCGCTAACGTAGCAGTCAGTATTTTTTATCCTCTCAGACGAATCTGGTACCACTACCCTTCCCGGAGGGATGGAAAGCTAGTTGGTCAGGGCGACTCACGACCCAGGATTTGATCCTCACGTTTTAGCCACTTGCGACTACACGACTTCCTCCACCAGCAGGAACTGGTGCGAAGAGAAACAGAGGAGTATGGTAGATACTGGAATTTGTAAATGAGATTTTTGTCGTTTGTGATAGTTTCCCGTCAAATTCTCGAGATTATACCAAGACAGATCTCATCAGCTTTATAAGTTCGACACAACTGGGATCAATGGCGTCGACGACGCGCTGATCTTTGACCTTGCTGATATTAGGTTGGAAAGAAGTCCTGCAACACTTTTCCAAATTTTTTTTTAATTTTATCTTTTTTGTTTACAACTCCTGACCGGTCTTGTATCTACCATAAGTGTCCTCCGCTTGTCTTCAACGCTCAAAAAATTTCTTGATGCTCCTTTGCCAAAACCCAGCGGAGTGTGGGTCGAGAAAGGAGGCGACCTCACTTTCGAGTTGGAGTTGTTCTTCTAATTATTTCGTCATCAAGATGATGATTTAAGGTCGAGGATAGGTGACAATCGTTTATAGCTCGAATAGGGTAATACGCTAAGAGAGGTAAAAATTCTTGCCGCAGGTCCAGAATTTCTTACCGGGCCCATTTAGAATCATGGTGATTCGCAATGTCATGAAAGAATTAAATATTGTCGCGGTACGAGGGCTCAAGACGAGCTGCCTCGACCAGCTTCTGGAGTTCCGCAGCCTAGACCTCTACCTACACAATGGTGCCCATAACGAAGAATTTGTAAATGAGCTTCCGTAGGAGCCCTTCCTGTAATGGAGTGTGTAGGACGCTGCTGGCTTCTTATGAAAATATCAGAAGATCGAAAGCGCTGATAAAGCAAACACGCTGTAGCGGTGCACGACATGCCTGTTGAAGCGATTGAAGATAGTGCTGGTTCTTTGACACGAATCCACAGTTATGGAGACATTTGTACTAGACAGTGACTCGGAGTGTGGATTTACCAGTGGTCGGGTTTTTTGAATTTTCTTGGTAACTATTGACTGCAGCACTTATATCCACCTCGTGGATTAAAGCCACGAGAATGCTCTACCATTTGTTAGTCATAAATGTTACCTATTGATTTTTCAAAAAAAGAAAAAATTGAAAGAGTGTTGCAGAACTTTCTTTCCAACCTAATACTAAGGATCTTCCCTGCGTTGAGTCACTGACGTCATGGTCATGGTCATTAAAAAATATTAAGGCCAGAGACATTATTGAAATCTTCTGTGTGATTAGCAGATTGAAACCCAAAGAAAAACCTCGAGTGTTTTTTTTTTTACCAAAAATCGAAGTTATTGTGGCTGTGGTTGTGGAGTAACATTGGTGCACTGAGGTTTGAAGAGATTAATAAGCTCTCGGCTCTTTATGGGCGTTGTAGCACTTCTTCATGACACTGTGCAAAACTAGGCCTACGAAGGTAGTTCGACGCCGATAGATCGGATCCCGGAATTCACCCTATTTTACATCCGGTACGCTTAGAGAGTCGCTCATATTGTGCTGAACTTGTTTAGGGAAAACAACTAATCTTTCAAAGGGCGATACGAAGGATGCGTAAAGATATGAGTTCGCTTCACGTACACTGCCCTCCCACCTTCCCCAACGCAAGTTTCTAATCCTTTATTACTACCAAAACTGGATTAAGGAGGGAAACTCAGAACTAGGATATTTTCCGAATACCGCTAAAAAATAACTGCTTTCTTGAATTTCTCCTGAAAAGGAGGCTAGCGCATGGTGCATCCTAAAACTGATCATGTTATTCCTTGAGCATCAGCCCAATGTAAACTTCAAAGAGCTAGAATATTCTCCTAGCTTGACGGAGCTTGACACTCGTTTTTGTTGATCTAAGCGACTAAAATTGCCAGCTTATTTAGACAAGAGTGATCTATCAGTGTGGTGAATTAGTTTCACCGTAATCCACTTCACACTGGTGCGCGCTGTTGAGCATTGGAGCACGCAATTCAACCAATACATTGGTACAAATATAGTGAATGGTACTAGTCAAGAGCAGTTTAGAAAATACTCAACGATTAGATCTCTATGAAATTTCCGCAGCGTTCGCCTTGCCGCTTACGCGGCGCGCAACCAAGCAAAAATCCATTGATGTGGTGCAGTAATAAATATAAGATGAGATTTTGTAAAAAAAAAACATTTAACAGACTTTTCCTGAGGGCAAAACGCTTGCTTTTTCTGCTATTGCCATTATCAGAATCGGAGTGGTCTCATACATTAAGAAAGAGAAACCATTATAAACAAAATAGTTAACACGGTTCTTTTCTCTATTTCTTCAGATGTGGATTCTGATGTCCGATCCTTTTCTGAAGCTTTACCCTTATTCAGAATTACAAGACAGACCCCAAATCTTCTTTACCACTTGACTTTGTATACTCCGTGAATTTGACGCCATCTCGTTCTTTCGCTGGCCACGTTGAGTCAAAAATGAAGAATTTGGAACACTTGTAGGTCCGTCAACTATGACGGTCTTGCTCACCTTCCGATTTGAATTATTCATCAGCCACTGCCATTAATACTAATTCCCTATTGCTCCTCAAAGACTCAACGGCGC